TCCTGAAGAGTCACAGATGGATCTCAGCTTGGTCTTCAGTGTTGCCACTAGCAGCTGATGGTGTGAGGCTGCATCTGCGCCACGCCTTACTCTGACGTCCAGCATACTTCGTCTCCATTTGCGGTCGATGGTGAAGTGGTCGATCTGGTTGTCAGTCGTTCCATCTGGTGAAGTCCAAGTGGTCTTATGGATCTTCCTGTGTGGGTAGATGGTGCCACCTATGACTAGGTCATTGAAGCAACAGAAGTCTGTGAACAGCTCTCTGTTCTCGTTGTAGGTGCCTATGCCGTGTCTGCCCATGATGAGTTCTCTGTCTGTGTTGTCGCCTCCCACCTTCGCGTTCAAGTTGCCCATGACAATCTTTATGTCTCTTCGTGGAGTCCGGTCAAAAAGGGATTGCAAGGAACTGTAAAAATCTTCTTTTTCTTCTGCTTGTGCTGCCTTAGTGGGTGCATAGCATTGAATGATGGTGATCTTCCTGCCCTTGGAGTTGAACCTGGCTATCATAAGTCTTGGTGAGACGGGTTCCCATGCCATCAGCACCCTCGTAGCCTCTGGCGCCAACAGTAGCACAACTCCTTGGGTGTGATTGTGGTCCGCGTCCTCGTGCCCGGAGTAGATTATGGTTTCCCCTGAAGACAGTCTGGTCTGGCCGCTTCCATTTCATCGGGTCTCACATAGTCCGAGAACCTTGATCTTCTCATCTCACTGGCCACCTGTGCTGACTTGCCACTTTCATACAGGGTTCTGATGTTCCAGGTCCCTATCCTGGTCTTGGTCGTAAGAAGACTTGTCGGCGAGCTGGCTTCCCGAAGGCTTTCACCTGCATGCGCCATGAGCCCCGCTGAAGAGGAGTCTTCCCGTCCAGGCAGTTGTTGGGATGTATTTGTTGTTGTTGCAGTTTCTGTAGCATGGCTTATTTTTAAAAGGTGGGGTTGCTAGCCCCACGCCCAACCCTCCTCCTTTCTCATCCTGGACTTGGGACCAGGCAATGGCGGAGTTAAAAAAACCACAACACAATTAAATATAAATTAAAATATGAAAACAAAAAGAAGATGCACATTCTCTGTCATATGCATGAATAAACTTTCTAAATCCTTTATCATCTGCAACTGAAAATAGTTGTGGATGATTACGACGTTGTTGTCCGTCCCTGGCTCTCTTTCTCTCTCTCCCTCCTGCTCTGTTCCTGTGCTACTGCGAGTGTAACTACCGCCACTCCTCCCTTCTCCCAGCACAAAGCACAAGGCTCGCATGCGGAGTGAAGCGGAAAAAAGTGCAAGAGAGAGAGGGTGAGAGAAGGAAAAAAAAAACCCATGGCTGGCGATTAGGAGCCAGCTCGCGTCGTTCACATCAAAGACCCGGCTCTAAGAGCCGTTTTATTCGCGACCGACACATCACTACAAGATACAGCCAGAGGTTGGCCATAAGATAGACTTCTTCTCTTCTGCTGCCCAAAAAACGGCTCTTGATCAAAACATAAACAGATCATCCGTATTGAAAGGTAAAAGGAGCCGTCCTCAAAATAGAAAAATCCCACCTGCTACTGTGGAGGAGTTGTCACTGCTATTGGATACTTTGCTGGAACACAGTAAAGCTGTGGGTTGTGGGAATGACCCATAATGTTTTATCTAGGGGTCTAGATTTATGGCTGAAGTGCACTGCCATGTAAATAATTTGCATTTACTGAATATTTACTGACTGAGTACCACTGTTCAAAAGTTGAATAAAGAAACAAACTAATTTTTGCCTTTTTTATTTTTATTAAAACCACTTTATAGAACATCACATCAGTTACAATGTAGAATCCATGTCATTTATAGTTTACAAATGACAAAATGTTTACACAAAATCATGACAGCATATAAATGATATCACCCACTACTAACACTAATTAATTTACTGTATTTTTTCCCTGGTTTTACTACCACACTGTTCACCAAAACGCAGCAAACCTTCACCATCTTATCCAGAAGGGTCACCTCTTCACCCTCACATGGAATAAGTAATCTGATTGGCATGGTGGTATGTTTGAAGCAGGGATTTCGGAGTGCCCCTTGTGTAGCGCTGGAACCCAGTCACAATGTGTTTTATCCATTTCATAGGCTGGTTTGCTTGCAATAATGCCAAATAATTAGCAACTCTATAAATAGAACATAGTTCTGCAAAATTACTCATTATGATGTTTGTTCTAATTTGCTATGACCTCAGAGTGCATCGAAAATAAAACTAATAGGCTATCCGGTCTTTAAGTGGTGGCGTGACGAATCCTGCTTCTGGGCCTAAAGTAGTCTGCGTTTAATATGGCTTTTGTGTTGTTAACATGTTTAATGTTTTGTATTTTCTTCTATTTAATCTCAAAAAGCTCCTAAAAACAGTCAGTGATCACTGTTGGCCTCCCTTGGCTTTTATTACCGCTAATCATTTTAAAGCTCAGTTTTTAAAACCTTACGATGTAGCTACAGCCCACCCCATGCAGCAGCATATGATTGACTAACCTATTCATCCTTGTGGATGAATTATCTTAGTTGTTCTCCTGGCTGAAGTTTAGTCCGTTTACAGCAACCTGCAATGAGATTACATTTGTTCCTGACCACCGAGAATCCTCACTTTAACTTTCATCAAGTGGAAAAAAGTTAGCGTGTTTATATTATGCTAACACAGCTGTGTTGCTAGCGGTCACGTAGCACATCGTTATATACCAGCTAGCCAAACTTCAGTAACCCTACAAACGTCACTGCTGTTTAGTTTTCTGTCTTCATTTATGTTGGAAGTGAGAGCAGAGCTGTACGTTTGAATTTGTTTCCAAAACTTCCTGCTAATTTCTAACTCCGTTAAATGTCATGAATTCTGTTTCGTTTTCATGGATGCCTAGATGATAAACTCAGTTGTTACACCTGGTAGAGCAGAACGCTGATCATTTTATTACAAATGAAAGACTTTAGATTGTTTTTCAACTCTCAGTGATGCCACAGTGATCGTTTGATTTTTGGACCTGAAGCGGAGTTTGAGCCCAAACACGGCTAGTGACGTCAGACTTAAAGACCGGATAAAGAGTGATATGAACATATTTAGAGCTTGCCGGAATGAAAATGTCTGGAGCACACCAACAGATATTTGGAGATGGAAGAGAACTGGATATCAGCTCGTCTCACAGCTGCTATCCAGACTAGACGCCTTCTTTTGGTAACATCCGGTACATGAGCTGCCTCATGTTGCTTCCAGGTGGGGAAAGAATGAAAAGATAAACCTTTTTCAAGCTTATTCCCTTGCCGGTGTTGTGCGATCTAACATTACAACCGACCGCACAGCAAGTACGAACCATAGCTGGTGTTATCCGTGTGCTTTGGCTCCTCTTTCACTTGCGCTTTGTTTGGCCCAGAAACATGGCGCCTCAACCAAAAATCCTGCCCACGCCCCCTTTCGTGACATCACACTCCAAAGCCCTATTTCAGACAAATCCTTTCCGTCAAGAGCCACTTGTTAAATTGTTGCGGACTTGTTAAAGTGTTTTCTGAAATGTTATTTTGTTGTACATTTTTTATTTGTTTTTTTATGTAAAAGTGTTTTCTGAAATGTTATTTTGTTGTCAATTTTTTTATTTATTTTTTTTATGTAAAAGTGTTTTCGGAAATGTTATTTTTTTGTTGATGTTGTAAATGTGATTTGCACTTCCCAGCCACTGTAAATTTCTGACAAATTACTATTGTTCTACTTTGCTATATGAATAAAGAAAACAAATTCTCAAGTTTGTTTCTATTAGAAAAATAAGCGTATGGCAAGGAATTACTACACAGGGGAATAATGTTTACAAGTGTCACAAGCAAAAGTAAGTGTACTGGAGAAAGTAAGAAAGTAGCGCCACTGGAGATTCGGTTCAGTGATTAAATTTGGAGATAATATTTGGAAGAACTGAACATGATTTATTGACATAGAAAAATTAATACTCAGGAAAGTGATTGTGAAGCAAAGAATAAATTAGCACCAAAAACCCAGGAAAGCAGGCAGATGAATGCATAGGTGTCCTTATTGAACCTATGCATAAACCTAATTTATACAGTGCCAAATCAGAACAGCAGTCACTGCAAGACCCTAAATTAATACAGAGAAAAATCCCAACAATCTTCAGACAGACAAGAGAAAAGATACACTGTGGAAGAGAGACACAGATTAATAATAGCTAATGATTAAATTCAAATTAACAGTTGGTAAATAACAAAGAAATGCTCAGTCCATCCTGGTAACCCCGCAGCAGCCTAGGCCTACTGCAGCATAACTAAGGGAGGATTCAGGGTCACCTGATTCAGTGTCTGTCTCCTGAATGCAAAGTAGGAGTTGGCTGAGGAATAATTCTTTGGAGGATAAACTTGTGGTTAGCAGGAGCCTAGTACTGTAAACATAGCACAGAGAGAAGCTTTTTCTGAAGCATCCGAAAAACTGTTTTAGGAGGTACTTGAGGTTCTTTTGTTTTTTGTTTTTTATAGAGAGGGTGTACTAGGGACCAAGAGAGATACTAATACCTCACAATAAGGCTGATAAATAGTACAGAAATTACAATAGACACACCAAAGCTGAACTGATTTTTAAATGAGTTAACTTTACAATCTGTTTTCAGATTGTTCTTCACTTAGAGCAAGAAATCACCAAAATCAACAACCTTTCTTCCAACATATCTGAACCAAATCCCTTTTGCAAGGTTCCAGACTTGGAGAATAAACTTAATAGGATGATAATGACAAATTTAAAACTCTAAAATGTATTTGAAAAAGGCACTAATAGGTTTGCTACAGTTGCAAACTTGCAAAATATGGTGGTAGTAATCTAATACATTTTCGTTTATTATTATTTTTTCTTTCAAATAATGTAAGTCATCATTTTTAAGCGAGGGATTATGTAGTGTAAGCTAATATTTATCAAGCGTTGACTAAGGTAAAACTGTTCCTAAATATAATTGTGCAGTAGCTGCTTATCTTTATCATTATTATGTTTCTCTTCTGAAGGTGGCAGAAGAACTCATGACAATAGCATACGAGAATGGAATCAACTTGTTTGACACAGCTGAAGTCTATAACTCTGGAAAGTAAGTATTACTATATTTCAATTTGTTTGAATAAAAAGTGACTGAATAAATGTTTTGTTTATGCAAAGTTACATACATGCATCCAAGTAGTTGTATTGCATTGGATGCTGCCTAGTTATTTTAGAGATATGAGACAGAACAACTAACTTTGCAAGACAGTAACTGTAGGTTTGAACTACTGATCCATCAGTTCATTCATTTCCTTAAGGGTTAGGGTTAATTCAAGGTCACAGGGGAACTGGAGCCTAGCTGGATGTCATAGGGCAAAAGAATAACTTTTTGGTGTATAACATTTATTAATTTAATTGAGATTTTTTTAATAGCCACATTTAAAAAAATCTCTCTTTCTCTCTTTCATTAACTCTTTTCCAAGAGCTGAAGCTGTCTTGGGAAGTATCCTAAAAAAGAAAGGATGGAGGTAGAGTTCTTCTGGGCCTTGTTTGTGATTGCTTGCAATTTGTGATATTAAAAGTAGATTTACATTATTAGTTTGAAATGTGTACCCATCTTTTGTGGATTTTTTTTTGTTTTCAGATGATTGGATAGCACTCTATTACAGCTCGGTAATAATATGGTAGTAGTGGAATACCAAGGGGGCAATAATAAGGTAATAATTTGGAAATTTCCAAGTTACTACTACTACTCAGTTACCAGAAAAAGGAGTTGGTAATAGGGAGCTGGTAATAATCTCATTATTTAATAGTAAGTTAATTTTGGCTGATGTTTTAGCATAATATCATAGTTTTACCATTTGATAATTCTTTATATAATCCGAACTTAGGTTTCCAGCATTCAACTTTTCTTAAAAATAATAATAGATTAAATATAGTGTTCAACGTTCTGGTTTATTAAAAGGAAACATGTATGGAAATTTCTGTGTAATAAGCATGAATCAGGGCTGCAAAATGCAAAGTTGCCTGTTTCCATTTAATATCTTGTCAGTCACTGATTAAACGGGTGAACGGGAAACACTTGTGCAAAATGCAGAACCACCTGTTTCAAAAACATTTTTTTAATATTTAAAATGAAATGCAATAAAAAAAAGTAAAATCCAAAAGCTAGTGGTAAAAATATCAATGCACGTTATGTGATTATTGATTACAATATACATTTTATTTTACAATGTTCATTTATTTTAAATAGTATTTCAAAAACCTTCAAGAATAATACATATGAATACATATGTAGATATATCTCAGAAGTAAACTGAATAAAAATAAACAGCAGTCAAGAACTGGAGCGTTTATTCTTGCAAGGGAGCAAAAGCACCAAATACAAGGTTTCATGCAAGTGCTTAAAGGGGGAAGGTACCAGTGAGATTTTTATTACATTTTATCACTTCCACCCTCCTTTGCCTTAAAACTGTCACACAAAACCATTTTTCCTTCTATGGGCTTCTCACAAGAACAGTTATGAGTGTGTGTACTTTAACGAGCATATATTACCTTTTTTTTTGCAACCTGGGCATTCTTCCAGGCACTAAGTGTACTGAGTGTGTCCTTGAAGAACGCACTCAGTACACTTGTGGCAAATAAATGAGGTTATTTCCTACTTCAATACTTTTTTTTTCTTTTTCACAGAGTTAAAAAACAGACAATCAATCAAAAGACACTACAGGCAACACTGCGCGTTATGTTTCGGACTTGTTAACAGTTCCCTGTTCATATTTTCTTTCTAATACAGTTCAGTTTTGTGTGAGTAATAGCTCACAAATAGCTAAACAAATTTTGTCAAATTGCATGCCAAAAATTTGGGGGTTATATTTGACAGCAATTTCACCTTTGAAAAACAAATTAGCTCAGTCGTACAGCGGTCCTTCTTCAAACTGAGGCTTTTATCTAAGGTGAGATCATTTTTATGTTTTAAAAACTTCAAACGGGCGATTCATGCTTTTATTATATCCCAGCGTGACTATTGTAACTCCTTATATGCTGGAGTTAGCCAGACCTGCCTGGCAAGGCTGCAGTTGGTCCAGAATGCTGCAGCTCGTCTTCTGACACGTACTAAAGGATGTGAACACATTTCCCCGGTGCTCGCCTCTCTTCATTGGCTCCCTGTCCGCTCCCACTGTCAGTCTTTTTAAATCTTATCTTAAAACGCATTTTTATTTACTGGCTTTTAATACAGCATGAGAGTTATTTGTTATTTTATTAGGTATGTTGTATTCTTGTACAGTTTTTTTTATTATGTATGTTGTATTCTTGTACAGCACTTTGGTCAACGCTCCTGTTGTAATTAAATGTGCTATATAAATAATTAAACCATTAACCATTAAACCATTAGTACATTGCATAATATATTTTTCCCATAAATATATAAATATAAAATATAATAAAATGGCCAAAGAAAATCAAATACTAAATACATGAAAATACTAAAACTGAAAACGTATGTGGTGTGGGGTGAAATTATTGTAAAGAATGTAAGGCTTTTATATCCTTTAACAAGTCACTATGGGCTCCATTTCTGTCTTTACAGAAATGTTTACCCAGTCAGGAATTCCATTCAATAAAGTGTAACATCTCTCTCATTAATTTCAAATTGATGTTACCTCTAAAATGGTATACCTCTTACTTAAAGATCCTCCAGGCTATCTGCTTCTGTTCTGAGTGAACAACCTCCAGAAAATGACTCGGAAGTGTATATACCCATGTCTCATAATCAGCCACTGGTCTGTAAATGTTTTTTCCTTTAGTGTTAAGATGTGCAGCAGAGATACTCTGCCACTGTGGAATAGAGTCTTTCTGGTTTCTGAGCAGACCACCTGCGATCCATCAGCCTAATCAGCCACAGTTCAAAAGGAACAGCGTTGCCATCCAGATGTGATCAGATTATCAGCTTAGTGTGATAAACAGGCCGGCTATTTGTGCTCTTCCCTCATGTAATTCTCCGTCATGTGCTAACTTCTTATTCTTTTGGCAAGTAGGGAGGTGAGTATTTCCATACTCACCTGCCTACGCGCTTTCTGGTGGTTCCCATGAATCCTTTTTATACTCACCTGCCTGCTCGACGCCTTCTTGCTCCCTCGGACCTCTGTCAAACTCTAATGCCTGCCCACTCTTCTTTGGCTTCTACAACCTACCTTGAACCAGTCACACTTTTGGCCATTCCCCAATAATTTCCTACTTCAAGTAAGCCAAGACTCTGAGCTCTTTAGCATACTAGTTGGAGCTCAACACATTCTCATCACTTAACATTTTTATTGAGTTTATTGATACTAAGGTTTCTTCTCTTTCCTCCACAGATGAGGCAGTCATGGCCTCCCCCATGGCAGCTCCATATGCGGACAGCAACATTGGTTACACTAGCTATCCATCTGGTGGCATTAGAAGCAATTTGTCATAAGAAGCAGAGCTGACCAATGGAAAACACACCCCTTGGTCACTTCAAGTACCTAGTACCTAGTTATGCCACTCACTCGCACAATATATTCCACAAACTTGTTAATGATGCTTTAAGGGATTTCCTGAATGTGTTCATGTCTTTAGATCAGGGGTGTACAAACTTTTTTCACTGAGGGCCACATACATAAAAATATAGGAGGGCCTGGGCTGGGCCACTTACTAGAAATTAGGTATATAGCCTTAACGTTAGTCTATTAAAGTTAGAAAAATCAATTAAAAGTGGTCAAATATGTTATATTGTTGGATATAATTAAAGAAAAAACTGCCTTCATCACAGCTTTCCATAAATGGATCTTTATTGATTTATTCAGAAAAAGCTTTGGTAGTTCATTCTCAGAACAGCAGCCTCAGATTTCTTCTTAGACAGAATTTACAATACAGAGAAAAAACAATAACGGGTAAATTTCAAGCTTGTTATTTGAATTATTAGACTTAGGCAACACACATATTAACGTTCGTATCAGCATTAGCAGACTGAACTGGCCTTAATAACAGGAGTGCATATAATTTTAGTAAATTATTCTGGTGAGTATCAGCTGCGCTGGGTATGAAAATCAGGCGATCCACCTGCGGTGCTGGTCCGACGCCACTCGTGCCAAAAATCCGGACAAATGTCACTTGATCAAGGAGCAAATCTGCATCAGACGAGATCAGCTGACTTTGCGTGTGCAGTGTGTGCTCTGTGTGTTAACAAGAAAAACGCATATAAGAAAGTGGTGTTCAAAAGCAGGGTAGTGACTAGTGATGTGTTGGTCGCAAACAACATGGCTCTTAGAGACGGCTCTTTAAAGTGAACGACAGAGCCGTGTTGTTTTTTTCTTTCTCTCACCCTCTCTCTTGCACTTTTTTTCCGCTTCACTCCGCACGCGAGCCTTGTGCTTTGCGCTGGGCAGAGGGGGGAGGGGCGGTAGTTGCACTCGCAGTAGCACAGAAACAGAGCCGGAGGGAAAGAGAAAGAGAGCCAGGGACAACAACAAGAGACAACATTGTCACATTAGAATAGTGATGGTAAATTTGATTATTTTTACTGAATTGAGTTTCAATGAGTCACTCACCAAAGTGAATTGTGTTTTTTGAATCATTTGAGTCACTGAGTCACATTTGAGTCAGTTGCCCAGAGAGTGCAAAAAATACATTTTCATTTAAACTTAATTTATTTATCTTTTCATGTATATCCTACTGCTAAGATGAGTGATTGAAAAAGAAAAACAACAACTTTTATAGAGCAAAAAAATATTTCTAAAGGGCACATTTATTTTTATTTTATTTTATTTGTATTTTCCTCAAATGTGTCAAATATATATTTTTATATATATTTAAATGTCCACTGAGCCAGGGGGCGGTAATGCGCCTTAACATTGGTTGCCAACCAAGAAGAAGAAGAAGCTGTGAGCCAGGAGGGAGGGTGTGAGTGAGTCCTGAGTGAGTCCTGAGTGATTCGTTGCTACGATTCAGCACAGCAAGGGAGGGGGTGAGTGAGTGAGTGATTCGATTAAGCTACGATTCAGCACAGAAAGGGAGGGGGTGAGTAACTCAAATGTGCTGTTAGCATGTTAGCTGAATGATGCTACTGTGAACCGAGGAGCTTTTAGCTGTGTCCCAAAACGTAGGCTGCATCCTTCGGAGGACCCGGCCTTCGCGAACTACGTGGGCTGGGTCCTTCGAAGACTGAGAAGGCCGGAAGTGCGAGGCTGTGAGATTGGATGGTCTAGCATTCAGATTTGCGTCACTGCTGTGTCGGTAGAGTTTCATAAACTCAGCCGTCTGCTCCTTGCTATCTAAAATACAACAGGACACTGCTGTAAATTCTCGACCGTCTCACACTTCTGTTTAAACAGTTTTCTGTTTGACGTTTATTCAGCTGTGTGAAAATCCCGGAGGAACCCACCCGATGGATTAATACAGTTTTATTTATCTAATAATCTAATAACTTTTATCTCAGCCAAACCAATTTGCTCCGGAACAAATAAAACACCGAAAAAAGCCAAACAATTACATTCTCAAGTTATCCGAG